ATACATATTTTCTTTATTGCAAAAAGCCCAAGCAAAAAACATCCCCCCAAAAAAATTTTGAGCCCCCCTCCCACCCATATATGCATGTACGAAAGCAAAAGCACACGTCAGGGCACCTTTGCATAAAAAGTTTGATTGCGATACATGTTAGATATCGCCACGCAGACCGGAATTAGAGCAATATTCTAGCACAAGACCTCCTCCATACTGCAAAACTGATGACCTATAGGGGCTTTTGAAGCATCGCCTACAGGAAATATAGGGTACTGAAGTTTCATTAGCGCATACAAATTTAAGGTTTGGCATGTTGGGTATCTATGTACTTGGCGAAACCTCTTTTATATCTTACCAAATATTTGGGTAATTTATTGCATTTGTTTGCCCTAAAATTTACTTCAGTGTGCTTTTCCCTGAAATTGTGTGTTTCCTAGACCTTTGTGGTAATATTGTGTGACATAAAAAATTGGAACTACTACTATTTTATTCTCTAGGATGTCTGCTTTCAGAAAACATAATGTTTCGGGGGTTTTGTATAATCTTCAGGTCTAAAATAATTTTTTAACCGTTCCCCTGCTGCCATATAGCAAGTATACTGCTACACGGCGGCACGAGTGTGCAAAACCATATATATATACAGTATATATATATATGCGATTTTCATCTCCAGGTAGGGGGCACGCAAGAGCCATGCGTGCCCTACCCGCGCTGCCATTCGTGGCCACAGATTACCCGCCGGCGCCTGGTGATTACCGACAATCACAGACGGGGAGGAAGACTGTTTTTTGTTTTTGTCTTCCTCCCTGTCAGCTCGGGCACACTGCTCGGGATGGCTGTACTGTGCAGTGTGCTTACAGAGAAACACCCCCCCCCCGCCCCCTAGTAAAACACTCCTTACACACAGTTAACCCTTTGATCGCCCCTCACATTAACCCCCTCCTGCCCAGTGTCATCAATACAGTATCAGTGCTAATTTTTAGCAGATTACTGTATTGGTGTCACTGGGGATGTCAGTGACACCAAGTTAGTCCCCCCCCCCCCCCCCCCCCCGTGTCAGAATGCCTGCCGCAGTCTGGCTAAAAGTCGCTGATCGCTCCCATTACTAGTAGGAAAAAAAAATCCCAGTATCTATACTGCCATTTGTAAATGCTATAACTTTCACGTAAACCAATTAATTTACACGTATTGGGATTTTTTTTAGCAAAGACACGTAGCAAAATACATTTTGGCCTAAATTTATGACGAAATTTGATTTTTTAAATATTTTTACTGGACATGTTTAATAGCAAAAAGTCCAAAATATTGGTTTTTTTTTCTCAAAATTGTCGGTCTTTTTTTGCTTGTAGCACAAAAAATAAAAAACGCACATGCAATCAAATACCACCGTGGGAATAAAAGGACGTAAATTTAATTTGGGTGCAGTCTGGCATGACTGCGCAATTGTCAGTTAAAGTAACGCAGCGCGCAACACAAAAAGTGGCCTGGTCAGGAAGGGTGGGTAAATCCTCTGGAGAGCAAGTGGTTAACCGTTTCCATACCAGGCACTTTTACCCCCTTCCTGCCCAGGCCATTTTTCAGGTTTCAGTGCTCTCACACTTTGAATGACAATTGCGCGGTCATACAACATTGTACCCAAACTAAAATTTTATCATTTTCTTCACACAACTAGAGATTTCTTTTGGTGGTATTTAATCACCACTGGGGTTTTTATTTTTTGCTAAATTAACAAAAAAAGCCGAAAATTTTGAAAAAAAAACCCACGTTTTTCTTTGTTTCTGTTATAAACGTTTGCAAATAAATAATTGTTCTTCATAAATTTAGGTCAAAATGTATTCTACTACATGTCTTTGGTGAAAATAACCCAAATTAGGATGTATTTTTTAGTTTGTAGGAAAGTTATAGAGTTCACAAACTATGGGATATATCTGAAATTTTATCAATCCTGAAGTACTGACAGCCAATCTAATTTCTTGAGGTCCAAGAATGTCAGAACAGTACAGATATCCCCCAAATGACCCCTTTTTGCAAAGTAGACAGTCCGACGTATTTCATAAGAGGCATGGCGAGTTTTTTGAAGTTGTATTTTTTTGTCATAATTTTTCGGAAAATTAAAAAAATTATTTTCACTATTTTTTTTTTTACATAATGTCACCAGTGCAGTACAGAGTCATCATATAACTGGCATGGCGGTGATCAGGGACACTGACTGGTGACAGTATGAAAAAAAAAAAAATTATTTTTTTATTATTTTTTAATTTTTTATTACATTTTTTTAATTTTTTTTTTTTTCATATTTCACTAATGCCAAAGTAGTACAATGTTACCATAGTAACATTGTACTACTTTGGGGAAGTGATCAGTATTTTTTTTTTTTTTACAAATTTGCTTATAGCAAAGAATTACTTTGCTATAAGCAAGCATTTACCTGAATGACATTGATTCATTCAGGATTTTTTTTTTTTTTTGTGCTTAGCTGGGATTTGGCCACAGCTAATCACATGACACAGCTGGGCTGTGATTAGCCCAGTTTGTGAATGTGATCGCTGTGACCAATCACAGCTACACACACTAGTATACAATGGATGGCATGGATGCAACTGTCGTGTGACCTGCTGTGATTGGTCAAAAGGTAATTTTTCTCCTTCACTGATGTGTATTGATGAGGCTGTACTGATATGCAGCACTGAAAGGCTGCACTGATGAGGTGGCACTGGCGGGCACTGATGAGGAGGCACTGATGATGATGCACTGATATGCAGCAATGATGGTCACTAATAGGTGGCACTGATGGGCGCAACTGCTGGGGGCACTGATGGGAGGCACTGCTAGGCGACACTAATCATCAGGGCACTGATCATCATTGCTGATCTGCTCTGTGGCAGCTGCAGGTTATAAGCAGTACTTTCCTGATGCGCTGTGACAGCATCAGGAAAGTGCTGCCGATAACCGGCAACTGTATTTACACAGCTGATCACGTGGTAAAAGGCTGCTGTGATTGGGCACAGCGATCACAGGGTGCACTCCACTGGGGGCACATGGTAGGCCATGTTCTGGGAAAATGTCATAAGACGCCCTCCCAGAACTGGACAACTGCGCTGTAGCCGTCATTCGGCTATAGCGTGGTTAGCAAGTGGTTAAACCTGAACATATTAATAACACAGGTTATGAGGCTAAATTAAAGTATAACTGAAGGCAAAACGTTTTTTTTTAGTTTTGGATAGAGTGGAGAGGGATTAGAATGCTTGTCAATTTTTATCGCTGTCTGAGCCCCTGTTAAGGAGATTCACCTCTCTATTTTTCCTGTTTACCATTATCGCTGAAAGTGGAAGTAAAAGAAAATCCCAAAATTTTGGTTGCCCTTAGAAAAGTAATAGAGGGGAAATCTTCCCCAAGGAATTGCCTTAATTTGCAGGGATTTCCTCTCACTACTTGTATGGCTATAGGACAAAAAGTTAAGGGAAGTCTCTGCAATGGGACACAGATGGTGAAAAAAAATCCGACGGGTTATAACCCTCCCTTGCTCTATCCCAGAATGAAAAAAAGGTTTTGCCTATAGTTCTACTTTAATGCAGATAAGTGAGAATAATTACCTTATCTTAAAGTGGTACTAAATCCATGGCCATGCATTCATTATATCTGTTCTCCCACAGTACACAGAACATGGGACTGCAATTATTTTAGTAAATATAAACTGCTAAACACCTTTTCTCATCAGCAGTATATAGCAGTCTTGTGACTTCTATCAGTGTTCAGCTGAACACTGGTTAAAGCTTATAGGAGGCGTTTTCACTCTCCTCTGACTGTACTATGAGGCTGCAGGACCCCTGACCCTCTGTCTGGACTGCGTTGATTGACCCTGTGCTGATCACATGCACTCTCCCAAGAAAGAAAAAACTCTCTAGCAATACACACCAAATTGAGTATGTGCAGCTTGCCCCCAAGTCTCTGTTCTATCAGCAGATGGATTGGGGACAGTAGAAAAAGGGGAGGATCAGAGAAGACAGGATTAAACAGCCTTTTTAGAGCTAATTGATACAGTAGTTGTTGAGCAGTTCATGTAAGGTTTACATCAGGTTCAAGACAAGATTAGCTCAGGATTTTATCTTGTTCACACATATGAGGTTTAGAACAGTTCCCATAGAAGTCAATAACCTGTAATCCGCACCTGAACTGGACCGCACTGCTCAGAAATCGTACAGGAAGGGCTTATTTTAGCGGGAATGTGGAGGAATGCAGTTCCGGCACCTCCAGCACTGAATGTATGTAATGGTATGGGAAGCTGGGTTGTGATGGAGGTCTATTACTGTATATTTATTTATCTATTTGCATATGTTTAAACACTGAGTCACCATTGGGGATTTGTTGCACTATCAGCACTATTAAAAGATTAGGAGCTGAATGATTATTTTTTATCTGTTTGAGCAATTTTATATAGATTTATATTTATTTATTACTAGCGCTGCACCCTATTTTATGATTATGTAATTAACACATGTTCAATTTTAAAGGAATGAGGTGGCAACCCTAATTCAGGGACCTGCACTCACCCGCATATTTTATTAGGACACAGAAGCTGTGCAGCGCAGCTCTCTGTCCCAACAGAAAATGAATGGGATGCTGGCATGGGGGATGCACCCAACACCTGCCAGGAAAACATGGACCTGCACATGGTTTGCAGCTCAGCGACTTGTTTGAATGGACTCTAAAAAGAACAAATAGGATCAACCTCCTTTATGGGGCACAGACAGCAACAGAAACCTGCCAGAAGTTCTAATTCCTCCCCACTCTATCCAAAACTAAGAAAGTTCTGCTTTAACTGCTTCCCGTCCGCCCTATAGCATAAGTACTGCTACAGGGCAGCCCGGGTGTGCAAAATCACGTATATATATGTGATTTTGCAGTTCCGGGTAGGGGGCGCATTCATGGACTCGGCTGTCAATCACTGGGTCCTGGCGGGTGATTACTTGCCGGTGCCAGGTGATTGCCGAGCATCTCCGATGGAGGGGGAGAACTGTTTGTAAACAATACAGTTCTCTCCCGTCAGCTCCTGCACCGCTATGCATGGCTTTGCACAGCACAGCCATAAAAAGCAGTGCGCTAACAGTGAAGCACACACACAGCACACAGTTAACCCTTTAATTGCCCCAAAATTGTCTTTTTTTTTTTAGCGCAATACATAAAAACGCACAGGTGATCAAATACCACCAAAGAAAGATCTATTTGTGGTGGGGAAAAAAAGGAAACAAATTTAATTTGAGTTCAGCACTGCATGACCGCGCAATTGTCAGTTAAAATAACGCAGCACTGTATGGTAAGGAAGTGGGGTAAATCCTCTGGAGGGCAAGTGTTTATCCACCTCCCGCCCGCCATATAAGGTAATGACGGGCGCAAGGCAGTTCTCTCATTCTGGGAAGACGTCATATGACATCCTCCCACTCTAACTGCGCATGCTCGGCTCCAGCGGCGCGCAGCGCCGCGATTGGTGGTTCGCTGTGTCCCTCGGACACAGCGGATCACCGGAAAGAGCCGAAGATTTCGGCTTGGTCATGTGATCAGCTGTGTCCAATCACAGCTGATCTCATGTAAATAGGGAAATGCTGGTTATCGGCATTTCTCTCCTCACGAGCTGTCACTCTGTCAGCTCGAGAGGAGAGCCGGTAATCGGCATTCCTTGGACGGGACATGTACACTGATCATCAGGCCACTGATCATCAGTGTGCCCTGATGATCAGTGTAGCCCCAGCAGAGCCACCTGTCAGTGACCATCAATGCCAGCTGTCAGTGCTCATCAGTGCCACCTGCCAGTGCCCATCAGTGCCTACCAGTGCACATCAATGCCACATATCAGTGATAATCTGAGCTGCCTTTCAGTGCCATCTATCAGTGCCAGTCAGAGCCACCTATCAATGCCAGTCAGTGCTGCCAATCAGTGCTGCCTATCAGTGCCAGTCAGTGCCGCCTATCAGTGCACATCAGTGCCTGTCAGGACCACCTAACAGTGCCCATCAGTGCCAGTCAGTACCGCCTATCAATGCTGTCTATCAGTGCCATATATCAGTGCTGCCTTTCAGTGCCCATCAGTGATGCCCATCAGTGCCACCTATCAGTGCCCATCACTGCAGCCTCATTAGCGCATATTGGTGAAGGAGAAAAATCACTTATTTACAAAATTTTAAAACAAAAATTAAGAAAAACATTTTTTTTCAAAATTTTCAGTTGTATTTGGTTTGTTTAGCAAAAAAAAAAAAACAGAGGTGATTAAATACCACCACAAGAAAGCTCTGTCTGTCTCAAAAAATGATAAAAATGTTATATAGGTAAAGTGTTGCATGACCGCGCAATTGTCATTCAAAGTGTGACAGCGCTGAAAGCTGGAAATTGGCCTGGGCAGGAAGAGGGTAGAAGTGCCCTGTAGGCTAGTGGTTAAAAAAGGTCTTTTCCTGAGGTTCCAGGTTACTGACATAACAAATTACCCTGCGCTACATGAGGACATACAGCCCCCATTCATTCTATGTATTTGGTAAAAGGAGTGAATCTGTATGCGCAGGATGATGGCGTAGAGTCCCACTTCAGCGATCTCGGAAGTGACAGTTGGTTGCCCTGACAACGGCCTGCCCTTCAGAAAGATGGCTGCCCAGGAAGGCGCCGGAGCAATGGCAGGGAAGTCTCATGGCAGACGGGTGCCGGCCGTATCGTTCCAGTCACCCTTGCCGCCCCCCGGAGACCTGGAGGCTTACAGTCAGCAGACTGCGGTGAGGGACTTCCACCGGCACCGGAGTAAGATGTACAGCCTGGAGCCCGCAGACACCGAGAGCTTCCGAACCGAACTCAACCTGCTGCTGGATCTCCTCATCTCCCAGGACTACAGCAAGGGAGTCCCGGGCATCGGAGAGGAGGCGAGTACCCGTCCGCTCTATAACGTCTGGCCTCGTGTCCCTGCACAGTGCATGCTGGGAGCCTGGACTCGTGCTGTACAATACACGAACCGGACAAAGTAATGGCAGGGCAGCAAAGTCTATCACCGGCCCATTCACCTATGTCTCCTACACACGTGCAGTTATGACTGTCATCCCTCTGAAAAGTGATCTGCACTGCGCTTTTCAGAGGGCATTTAACAAGTTCTGCTTCACCCTTAAAATTAGGGATGCAACAATACCCTTTTTTAAACGGTGGGTACGAGTACTGATACTGTCGGTCAAGTACTCGCTGAGTACTGATATTTTGCAATTTGTGTCAATACAAACTGTATGGCCACAAATTGCACCGCAAACAATAGCATGTGATTTGAACAGGAATGCGATTCTTGTCCAGATCACATGCTGTTTCCTCACTGCTCCTGTGTGAAACCAGGCTTGTCATAGGGAGGTTTCCCGCAGCGGAGAGTGCCAGAGAAGAGCACCTGAGGATGTATACCATGGTGGCAGATGCTCCGTATTCTCAGCTGTAGAAGAGAGAAAGCTGTGGGCATTTGAAATCTCTGCAGGGATGACAGTTCAGGTTAGAGGACATTTGATTGGTCAGCAGTGTCACATGGGCAATGTTGACCAAGCAAAAGCTGTCTAGCCCTTACTATCATCCCTGCAAGGAGAGGAGAGAAAGCTGCTTCACAGGTCTGGGGATTTGAAATCCCTGCAGCTTTCTCTCCTCTTCTTGCAGGGATGACAGTTCATGTTAGAGGACGTTTGATTGGTCAGCAGTGTCACATGGGCAATGTTGACCAAGCAAAAGCTGTCTAGCCCATACTATCTTCCCTGCAAGGAGAGGAGAGAAAGCTGCTTCACAGGTCTGGGGATTTTTGAAATCCCTGCAGCTTTCTCTCCTCTCCTTGCAGGGATGACAGTTCATGTTAGAGGACGTTTGATTGGTCAGCAGTGTCACATGGGCAATGTTGACCAGGCAAAAGCTGTCTAGCCCATACTATCATCCCTGCAAGGAGAGGAGAGAAAGCTGCTTCTCAGGTCTGGGGATTTGAAATCCCTGCAGCTTTATCTCCTCTCCTTGCAGGAATGACAGTTCAGGTTAGAGGGCTTTTGATTGGTCAGCACTGACACATGTATGGTGTTGACCAAACAGAAGCTGTCTAGCCCATACTGTTATCCCTGCAAAGAGAGGAGAGAAAGCTGCTTCACAGGTCTGGGGATTTGAAATAAGAGCAAACAGGAGGCGCACACCCCTAGTGCATTATCCAAGGTTTATTATAGTATAAAAGGTGATGAAAAACACTCACAAAGATAGCATAAATGTAATGCTTAGGGGAACGGTAGAGATGGCCATAGCAATGGCGGCGTGTCCGACTATCAATGTGATCGGCTTTCTGACGCGTTTCGGGACAATTCCCTTTCCTCAGAGCTGGTCAAGCGCTACCGTTCCACTAAGCTTTACATTTATGCTATGTTTGTGAGTATGTTTTCATCCCTTTTATACTATAATAAACCTTGGATAATGCACTAGGGTTGTTGATTTCCCTATCTGAGGAGGGCAGCATCTCTGAAAGGCTATCCATAGGCGAATTTGGTCCTGGTTCCATTGGCTTTCCTTTGGCATTTGATCCCTGGAGCGCTGAAGAGTTTATTCAGTTATCTGGTTCAGGGATTTGAAATCCCTGTGACTTTCTCTCCTTGCAGGGATGACAGTACAGGCTAGATCGCTTCTGATTGGTCAGCACCGTACAGTTGAGAATACGAAACATCTGCCATCAGGTTTATGTCCTCACACAACCTTCTCTCCCACTCTCTGCTCAGCATGGGATCCATGCAGGGAGGTTTCCTGCGCAGTTCCTGTGTGAACTCAAGCTATGACAAGCCTGGGTTCACACAGGAGCAGTGGGGAAACCGCCTGTGATTTGGACAGGAATCACATTCCTGTTCAAATTGCATGCTACCCTTTGCGGTGCGTTTTGCGTTTTGTATTGACACTAATTGCACTGCAAAGTATCGGTTTCTGATATCGGGAACATTTTCGTGAATAAGAGTACTTATGAAAATACTCATTTTCAGCACCAATACTGGTATTAGTATCGGTGCATCCCTACTTAACCTCTTGACGCTGATGGCACACAAATATGCGGCCTCACGGAACTGGGCTTTTTTCCGTGGGGCCACATATTTGCGTACCTGTCTTTGTGCGGCGCGCTCCCAGCACAGAGACTGCGGTGTCACTGAGACTCCCGATTCTGGGTCACGTGATCGCTGTGATAGCCTCTGATTGGCTATCACAGTGATCAGTCCCTTGATTTTCTCTCTCTATGAACGGAGAAGAAAGATACATTGTATCTCTCTAGCTCCTGACATAGAGAGAGAAAAAAAAGTTTGTAAAAAAAAAAAAAGATAAATATTAAAAAATAAAGAAAAATACCTATATCAAGGTTTGATCTAGTTCAGTACCAGGGTTAGTGTTTGGGTCAAGGTCAGGGTCAAAGGTCAGGATTTAAAACACAAATTGGTGTTAATGTCAGTGTGTTTTAGGTTAAAAAAAAAAAAGACAAAAACAAAATGCGCGCTATTGTTTCTGGGCTGTACTATGGGTACAAACAACAAATAACATACACATATATGGTAACGCTGTGATCGTCAAGAGTTGGAGAATTTATTTGGGTTGTTCTATGGAGGTAGGTTATGGTCGTAACAAGAAACGCACAGCTAAATAAAAAAAAACTATTTTTTTTTTTTTTTACTATTTTGGGCCAGTTTTCCTTTGATAATAAAAAAAAAAATTAGGAGCTATCCATTACCATTTACCACCAAAGGAAAGCCCAATTTGTCCTGAAAAAAACAAGGTATAATCCACCTGGATGTACAATGTAGTTGTGGTGATATATACAGTTTTACTAACACATGTCAACGGTGCAGAATTGTGCTTAGGCATTTAGATTTGTTTTACCCTTAGGCGTGAAGGGGTTAAAATCCTAACCCACCGTGCTGCAACCATGTGCATTACAGCAAATCCCTGTTCACTTGAATGGGTCACAGGACCATCTACAGCATGCCATTTAACTTTTGCCAGAGCCTCATAGGTATATCCCTGAGCAGCTGCATTTCTTGCACCGCAATGGATAGCATTCGATTTGCACAGGAATGTGATTCCTGTGTAAAACGCAGTTTCCTCACTGCTCCTGTGTAAACCCAAGCTTGTCATAGTTCACACAGGAATGGTGCGTGAAACCTCCCTGCACCGATCCCTTGCTGAGTGGTCTTTCTTCCGCTTTTGTGTTAAAAAAAAGCAGAAGAAAAACATGTGACCATGTATTCCTATGGAACTCTTCACACTGATCTGTTGCGGGTCTGGTGTGTTTTTTAAATTCCTGCTTGCTGCATTATTAGTACAGTTTTGGTGCTTTAAAAAAACGCACCAAAAACACCTCCCCATTGAAATCAATGGAAAATGTGGCAAAAACACACCCGTGTTGCGTTTTTGGTGTGGTTTTTGAGTCGCATGTCGTATAAAAAAAACACACCACAAATGTGGATCAGTGTGAAAGTGGCCTTCAGTTAGGTGGGTGGTAAAACTGTGATTCATCTGCTTGCTTTTTCCTCCCCCTGGCAACCTGTGTGAATGAGCCCTTATGGTGGACGTATACGCTTAGATTTTATTATTTGATCAATTTGTGAGCTGATCAAAACAATCAAATCTAAACAATCAAATAGCCATGACATCCCAGGAATGTTCATTTTATATCGCCCGACGCCCGGGATATGTACTTCCATGCATCGGGCAGGTAGTTTTTATTTACGTTTAACCCTGCTATGGGCAAGCACTTGTCAGGTGGAAGCAGTCGGGCAGTGCTGCCCGATTGCTTTCCCACAGCGCCCCCCCCGCCCGCACATAATTTGTCCCGGGCTCTGCTTGCCCACACCTGCTCCCCTCCCCTTCTTGGCCTGGCCTGGAAGTGATGTGACATCTCTTCCGGGTCCCCATTGACAGTATCAAGGCTGGGAAAGAATGTAATGCAGTGTGATGTGCAGTGCATTACATTCAGGGGAGACATGCAGTGTCTTTTAGACCCTGAATGTCTCCAAAAAGAGAACCTGTCACCAAAAATCATCACATAGGGGACTTTAAAAAAAAAATGAAAATTACACCCAAGCATATAAACCCCCCCCTCCAAATTTTTCAAGGCCCCCCACATATACGTACCTATACAGCCATGCACAACAGTGTGCTTAGAGTGAAGCACACAGACATAGCATATAGTAAAACCGTACACAGTTAACCCTTTGATCGCCCCACATGGTAACCCCTTCCTGCCCAGTGCCAGTAGTACAGTGTCAGTGCTTTTTATTAGCACTGATCGCTGTATTGGTGTCACTGGGGATGTCAGTGACACCAAGTCAGTTCCCCCCAGTGTCAGAATGGCCGCCGCAGTTCCGCTATAAGTCGCTGATCACCGCCATTACTAGTAAAAATAGATAATTAAAAAAAAAAAATCCCAGTGTATACATACTACCATTTGTAAACGCTATACCTTTTACGTAAACCAATTATTTAAACATTGGGATTTTTTTTTAGCAAAGATGTAGCAGAATACATTTTGGCTTAAATTTATGACAATTTGATTTTTTAAATTTTTTTACTGGACATGTATAATAGCAAAATGTCAAAAATATTGTTTTTTTTTTTTCTCAAAATTGTCAGTTTTTTTTTTTTTATAGTGCAAAAAATAAAAACCTCACAGGTGATCAAATACCACCAAAAGAAAGCTCAATTTGTGGGAAAAAGGACTGAATTTCATTTAGGTACAGCGTTGCATAACCGCGCAATTATCCGTTAAAGTAACGCAGTGCCGTAATGCAAAAAATGGCCTGGTCAGGAAGGGGGGTAAATCCTCTGGCGGGCAAGTGGTTTAAAAAAATTTGTATATGTGTTTTTTTTTTTTTTTTTACAGCTGTGTTAATGAAGCCTTACAGGGAAGGTGCCCCTCACACTGCCAGAGTTAACTGTTTAGTTAGGTCTAGGGGACAGGAACAGCAGTGGAAGCTGGCAGAGGAAATACAGCATTTAGGGGACTTTTTTTGCCTCTAAATGCAGCTCTCATTTGAACCCCTCACTACACTCAGGGGTGTAGAATTTTTTGTTAAAAAAACTACTTGTCCAAGGACTAAATCAGGATTCCAATCTACTTGGCCCTTCTGACAATCTACTTTTCCTGATAAAACTGCAGCAGTTTTTCAAATGCTATTTTTTTTTTTTGGAAAAAATACACCTTTTTTGACTTTTAGTGCAAAAACCCCAATACTAAGCCACAATTTTAGAGAAAATATAAAGGATGTTACGCTGAGTAAATAGATACCAAACATGTCACACTTTAAAATCATGCACGCCCGTGCAGCGGCAACAAACAAACAATATAAATTTTACTATCCACAGGTGACGCATTAAAGCCCTTTACAGGTTGCCACCTTAAATTTACAGAGAGGTCTAGTGCTAGTGTTTCTGCCCATGATCTGACATTCTCGGTGATGCATCACATGTGCAGGCCGATTGCTGTTTCCATGTGTACAAGGTGCTTTAAAAAAAGATGAAAATTAATATTACTTTAACTCTATCACTTGTGGCAGCAATTGGCAGTGACAGGTGCTCTTTATCAAGAGATCTGGGGTCAGTAAGACCCCAGACCCCTCCTCCGCCCTTAAAAACATTTGATCACACAAGATCGATGTGATCAAATGCTTTCCATTTTTAAAAATGGTGCCATTTACATCCAGGGAAATCGTAAGTGATGTCTGCTCATCGCTTCCTGTTCCTATACCATGGAGGAGGACAGAGCGGTTTCCGGTCTGATCAGCCGGCAGAAGCACCAAAGGTCGATTGGGTGTCCTGGTGCGACGAGATTGCTTGTAAAATCAATCCAATGGCTGGTTAGCTTCTTGGATTTCTTTTACAAGAGAGTTTACCGTCGGCTCTAATTCCTGCTTGCCTGCAGCAGGGCTAAATATAAAGAAAAACTTCTTGCCCGGTGCCTGGAACTGCATGTCCTGGGCATCGGGCAATAGGAATTGCACACCCGTGTACACTATTCAAAATTTTAAAAATGGACTTAAAGTGGACCTTTTCCACCAGTCTCCCCTTTATCACAATTGAATATCACAAATGCACTCTACACTTTCCAGATATATTTTTGTAAAAAAATGTTGAAAACCATTTATCATTTTCCTTCCACTTCACAATTATGTGCCACTTTGTGTTGGTCTATCACATAAAATCCCAATAAAATACTTTTACATTTTTGGTTGTAACATGAAAAATGTGCAAAATTTCAAGGGGTATGAATACTTTTTCAAAGCACTGTAGAGCCAGTGATTTTGCCACTGGGTCTAATATACGGTATGTAATGAACACAAAGGTTATATTTAAACATTTCATTAGCATGCTGATGAGGGGAGAGATGGGAGAAACCACAGAAGACACAATTTAGGCAGATTCAGTTCAGCTTTAATATCAAATTCTTTTTCAGGAGGTTTGTGCCTTACTCGTGCAAGCTTGTCATCTTGTTCAGCTCAACCAAGAACATCTTGTGAGCAAAGTTTGCCAGCTTATACACTATCTGCTTAACAGACTGCAGGTAAGAAACACTTTGCACCAAATACTGAAATAGCACACATACAGTACCTACCATTGGTAGTTGTAAACCCGATCGATAAAGCTCATTATAGCCTAAAAATGTTATTGTAATTTCAAAAGTTGTTAGCAATCTTTTTGTAAACCTGCAAATTGTATTAAAATTATACCTGGTGACTCCTAAATCAGCGAGCCGTTGAAGAGAAATTACATATTTATTATACAGTGCTCAGCATAAATGAGTACACCCATTTTGAAACATAAGATTTTAATCAATATCTCAATGAACACAAGAACAATTTCAAAAATTTTGACAAAACTGAGTTTTATAGAAAATTTGTTTAGCTCACTACATGAAAGCAAGGTTAATAATATAACTAAGATTTCAAAATCTTCAGTTTTACTCAAATTAATTGATGCAGAAATGAATACACCCCACAACAAAAACTACAACATCTAGTATTTTGTATGACCTCCATGATTTGTAAGGACGACACCAAGTCTTCTAGTCAAGGAAGGAAAAAGTTGGCGACATATTGTTGCAACATTTATCTTTTTCCATTATTCAAGAACAACCTCTTTTAGAGCGTGTATCCTGGATGGAGAGCGATGCTCAACTTGTCTCTTCAGAATGCCCCATAGATGTTCGATTCGGTTCAGATCAGGAGACATACTTGACCACTGAATTACTTTCACCCTGTTCTTCTTCAGAAATGCAACACTGGCCTTTAGATGTGTGTTTTGGATCATTGTCACGTTGGAAAAGTGTACGACTACCAAGGGTACGGAGTTATAGTAGTAACATCTTCTCTTTCAATATAGAAATTCATGTGAATTCATGATACCATCAATGAAATGCAGCTCCCGACACCAGCAGCACTCATGCAGCCCCACAGAAGGACACTGCCACCACCATGTTTCACTGTAGGCACCATGCATTTTTCTTTGTACTCCTCACCTTTGCAACGTCATACAGTTTTGAAGCCATCAAAAACATTTATCTTAGTCTCATCACTCCAGAGTACATAGTCCCAGTAGTCATCTTCTTTTTCAGAATAGGCTCTGGCAAATTCTAGGCAGACTTTTTGTCGAATGGTCTTTTAGGAGAGGCTTCGTTCGTGGAAGACACCCATGCATGCCATTCCTCTTCAGTGTATGCCATATTGTGTCACAGGAAACAATCCCCTAGTTTGGCTTTCTACATCTTTAGCTAACTGCAGTGAATTTGCAGGGTGATTTTCTTCAACCCTTCTCATTAGAAGACGCTCCTATAGAAGTGTTAATTTCCGTGGACGGCCTGGACATCTCTCTGTGAGATGGTTGCAGTTCCATCCTTGTTAAATTTTTGTATCACTTTTGCTACAGTATTCTGGCTGATAAGTAATGCTTTGCTGATCTTTTTGTAACCTTCATCTTTCTTGTGTAAAGAAATTTTTTCTTTCTCAGGGCTTGTGACATTTCGGTCCAATGTGGTACCATTGCTGATAGCATGAAATGGGAAGGGGTTTCCTTTAAGTAATGCCCTTTTATAATCAACTGTCTGCTGGACACCTGTTTCATGAATAATTAGACTCACCTGTAGTTGTAGTCTTGTTAATTAGGATTTTGATGAGTAAAATTTAACTTTGCTCTTAAGACTTTCATTGGGGTGTATTCATTTTGAACATGATCTTGAAAGAATTTGTTAGGAAAAAAACTTTGTGTGTGCAAATTAACAAATCTTTTTTGCAATCAATGGCTGCATTTGTGTCAGTATTTTGTAGTATAGTGTCCTATAGAAGATTTTTCTGAAAGGAAAGGAGTTATCTCGCTAGATTTCCAGCAGGATCAACAGGTATTTTGTACTTACTGAACAAATATAAAATAATTTTTAATGGTGTATTTAGCAAAGAAAATGGAAGCAAATAAGTTAATTTCAATTTTAAAAACTTTAGTCCTGGTTCACACCTGTGCAACTTGTAATGCGATTTGTCGGAAATGGAACCGTTTAAATCAGTTTAACTCCCAACTTTGCGGTGCCGCAACAATTTGAAAAAAAAAAGGTTCCTGCACTATTTTTTTGCAATTCAGGTGAAACTTGCATAGACAACTGTGCATGAAGTCACACAGATGTCATCCAAGTCACAGTGACATGGGGCTTTGAAATCGTGCAACTTCCAGTGAAGTTGCACAATTTCAGCCTGGGTTCATACTGACGCAGGCTGAAATTGTGCAGTTTCCATCATGCAGTTTTCCAGCAATCTCTGTAAAGTATGGAGCGCCTTCCTAGTGTGTGGGAGTTAGGATTGGAAGAGATGTTCTTAAAGTGGTATTAAACCCAAAAGCAAAAATTATTTATGTTGCAGCTTGCCAATTCTTAGATGTGGTACCTGCATTCCTTTTTTCTTTTAGGCTTTTTTTCTTTGCTGCTGTCCAAAAGTGTCTCTATTACTCCTCCATCCAGAGTGGAGACACCCTAAGACAGGAAATGTGTTTTTGGCCAGATCACAAAGTGAAAATAATGAAAAAAAAAAAAAAAAAGGAAAACTAATGTAACCATCGTAGGTGAAGTGATTGTAAAGGATCAAGATTTTTTACCTTCATGCCTTCTGTGCATGAAGGTAAAAAAAAACCTTCTTTCTGCAGCAGTTTCCCCCAGCCCCCCTGAAAACCTGAACCCCATCTCCATCCAGCGATGTGCACGAGAGCCTTGGCTGTCTGGGAACTCTCCTTCCTCATTGGCCATTGGTACTCGCTGCTGTCAATCACAGCCAATGAGTAAAAAGAGGGGGCAGGGCCGAGGCGTGGCTCTGTGTGTGAATGGACATGCAGAGCAACAGCTCTGGAGTGAGCCTGCTTGGGTGCCCCCATAG